TTGTCAATAAAAGCTGAAAAAATGTTTTTTTACTTTTTAAATACTCTTGGTCATCTTTTTCTATTGAAAACAACACTTTTCCAACAACATCCTTTTAAGGCACAGCTGATAAAACAAATAGGATTCGAAATTTTAATGATTCATAACTTGGGCCGTACAGGATTAGAAAACCTTAGGAAAAAAGTATTTAAATATAATGTAATCCACTCCTGTTGCGACTTGTGACGCCATACAAGGTTTTTTATCCTAGGCAGATGGAAATTTTGCACGTTAAGCATGTATCGTTGTTTTCTTGCAGCAGATAAAGCAGACGATACGCAATTCAAAACTCCATAATGTAGCTATCATAGTAGATTTTAGGGTTTTTACATTTGGAGATAATAAAAGTATTATTACCGAGGTCTAAAATGCATGCAAAAATTGATAATTATCACCTTTTATCTCATTCTAGCTTTGTATTTTGTTCTTATGTAAAGCTTTGTAGAAATGTCCAGTAGCAAAGCAAAGGCTCTGCTAATACTGCTAAGCAACAATTTTTAAAGATAAGATTTTCTTTAAAGATATATTTAATCTCTGCATAAGGAAGCTTTCTATACAGTCCCCAGTCCCGCCAGTTGATGAAGGCACCCCGTGCTTATCTCGAGGTTCTGCTGTATGTTATGCACCCAGTTTTTTGTCCAGCTCACAACTATGATAACCTTTGTGCGTTTCTGATTCACAATGGGCAGTAGTGATATTAATGAGTAATGGTTCACTTAGGTAGGCCAAAGAGCTCTTTTTTAGGAAATTTTGCCTGGTTTTATCTGAGAGAAAGGCAGGGAGAATTTTCCTGAGCATTCTAATTGAGTTGTTGAGAAAGTAGGTCAATTCAAGAGTAATTTGTGAAGCACTGTGTGTGCTGTGGCAGGTTGAAAGGCATGGCCCTTTGCAGCCCGTCTCAAGGCCAGTCTCAATATACTATGGATATCATTAACGTAAAATAAAATTATACATTAACTATGCTATGTTTTCACTTTGCAGTTCTCTCTTCAAGTTTGCTGTAGCAAAGGGTGATAAGAATAAATTGGCTTAAGCATTAAGTAGTCAACCAAAATTGTTTGAAAGAAATTCTTCATAAAGCCCGATCAGCTTTAAAACTCTACTATACTTCATGATATCCTGAACTCTCATGCTTAAGAATTAGAAGGAATAACAAATCTTTATCAATATTGGTATAAAATGTTAGCCGCAATTGATGATTTAAGCAGGATGGGCAAATACATCAACCTTTAAAGCAGCTTGAATATTGAGTATCAGGGGTGCGGTGCCGGGGGGCTATAGGGAAGGGAAAGGGTGGTTCCTTAAAAAGTAGGCAAATATTTTGTTTGAGGAATTCTGCGCCGGTAACCCTTTATTAAGATAAAGATTTTCCTGGAAATAGTTCGAATGATTTCACATTCACAAATGCAGGTATTTTGAGTACTGCCATAGGCGTGGAAAGGATGTGGATTCCAGGATCTAGGATCTGCATATAGTACTGTCCTGCCGCCTAATCTGTTAGATATGAAATTATATATAAATTCTCCCCAGAGTCAAGTCATTACTATGGTTTTTGGAACATATGTGGTTGACCAGCTTAAGAGTAGACTCGCAGTTGTTAATCTCAACCTTAATTTTGAACTATTTTTGTATAGACTCGCAGTTGTTATTTTCTTTGATCCATTTCTGTAAACTCGCTAAAACAAAGTGTATGTCTTACGGTACTAGTGCAATTGACGAATTCCGTAGCTGCGGAATTTGGGAATCCGGGAACAGCAAACTATGGAATTTCGGACTTTGCAAATGCAAAATTGCGGAACTGAATTTCCGTATTTTAGATTCTCAAATTTGGCAGTTCTGGATTCTGTTTATTGCACCTTCCATTTTCTTTGCAACTGGATTGACAAACAATCCAAGGCAGAAGTCTTTTTAAAGATTATTTGCGCTTGATCCTGATTGGCTACAAACGATACAAGATCATACCTAGCCGGACTCATTTACACAACAGCTCAGATAATCTTTTTTTACTACTATATTTTTAATTCTAAATTTAAAAGTTGATGCTATGTGTCTAAATCTTATTCATTTAATCGTCTATGCAAGTATATTGACTTGTGTAAATTATCGGCTTGAATTAGTTAGTATGGAATTTTTGTTAATTTGTACTGTATGGATGCGGCTATGTACCTCCAACGTTAAATAAATTCCTTGTTGTTATTGATCATTATTACTAATACTGATCACACAGAACTGGAAAGTTGAAGTGGGTAAAATTAAGATGTTGAAAACACTACATTTTAGGTTATTTGAACTTTGACCGCCTAACCCAATAGAATACCATATATTATCAATTTCTTGTTTCGAAACGATCACAAATTTTCAAAAGAAAGTTAAGATAGGAAAAGACGAATTGGCATAAATGCAGTCCGTATTTTGCCAAAAACATGCCAAAAAAATTTAAATTCTATTACATTAAATCCATAATAATTTAATAATTAATCCTTTAGGCTAGAGTAAAATGTCGAACCTTTCTCAAATACTTTTATAATCCTTCAAAATTGATTTTATAATAATTCTAAAATAAATAGCTGAAGCTGAGATTTGAGGATTGAAAAATATTATGAAAGATCAATGGATCAAAAAAACCATATTTAATATAGATCCGATTTACTTTTGCAAGACAAATTTTGCATAAAAGATTACATGGTTATGGAAATTGATACAGATTCACAGCTTTCTTTGCCAAAAATACTTTGTACGTAATTCCTTATTGTACGTATCCAGAAAATCTTTACGACTGCTTTCAAACAGACCGACTACCTGTTAAATAATTTAAAATATCGTTAGAATTTTTTCAAAATATTAGCATTTTCTAAGATCATTGAAAAGTAAGCAAGGTAATCAGGTCTTATTTGGAAAGAGCCTGGCACAGTTAACTTTTCATGTTCATCATTGTTTTGCAAAGTCTTGTGTTGAAAAAAACCAGTAATAAATCATTTCCTCTGAGATTTAGCAAAAATATGAACTGAAATCTAGTAAAAAATATGAACTTATCATTCAAAAAGTAACCTTTCAAAATATCAATACGATTTGTAACTAAATCAGCTAACAATCGCCTAACTCATAGTGAATTGATCCATGCATTCGTTTTTTATCATGTTGAGTTGAATAGGGTCTTCTCCGCCCTCCATTTGGGTCCAGAGCTCCGGGACACATGATGAGATGGTCTTACCATATTTGGAATTCCCGGGATCTCTTCGCATAACGTCCTCTCATCGTCAGTATTGATTTAGAGTTAGGAGCACGAGGCATGAAGAAAGGTTCTCTCTTTTGAGTATATGTCATTACATATAATCATCCAATATATATCTTTTTCTTCGAAGACATGTGTCTGTCAGTGGTACACACCTATGTCCCACTCTATGGTCCCACTCAAGTCACAACAAAGGCTTTTACTACAAAACAGCGGTTTGGAACAAGATTGAGGTTATCGTTATGAGATTTCAGTTATTTAGGCATGTCCGTAAACGGAGATATGAAAAATAATTAAAAGAGACAATCAGCTCATAACAAAGAATATATCATCATTGCTTTTGCCATTGTGTTGGTTTAAATTTATTGATTTTGGCTTCACAAATATATTGCAACATCTCTGAACTTGTTGTTCTTTAAAATATTTGACATGTTCATACTTACGCACAACCTTTATAAACTCCTCACAATCTGATTGATCGACCCTATCTTCCTGATTGATTAACAGTGATTTTAAAAACATTGTGTCAAATGATCTTGTGATAGATTTAACACTATATCTTTTTCAATTACGATTCTCACCATGCGAAGCGTAATCAGGCAAAATGTAATCTTTCCCGAGCACAGGGATGGTGCCACCTGGGTCGCTTGGTGGGGAGGGGGGGCAGGAGCCCCCCAAAAATTCATTGAGCCCCTTCCGTCGGCACTTCAATTTTTGAAAAATTTTAAGCAATGTTGGCACTTTCATAACTTCCGCTTCGTGATTGTTATTATTTTTTTTCATTGTTTGCTTTGTTTCATTTTTTTTTCATTTTTGAACTAGAATTACCACAGCGGAAATGGTGTTATATTACATCTTTGTGATCTTGATTAATCAGTGAGCCGCATTTTAGCTTATCCCATAGTTCAGTATTTCAAGATTAGATAACTTTTATTTGATGCCACAATTTCCAGGCATGAGCGTTTAAATAAAAAAACACGAGAAAAATTGTAATGATTATAAATTTGTGCAATAGAAACATTAAAATCCGTAAGTATAATAGGTTCTCAGCCGGTTCTAAACATAAATATGGTTAGTTTCTGTCAAAAAATTTGTTGATGGCGTAAAAGGATAAGGGCAATCGAATGCATACAGAATGCTGAACTCGTATTTAAAAATTATATAAGGTCAGCTACTCTGAGACTGCACTTAATAAGTATCCATGTTTTCAAGACAAACATGTATCCTTTCCTAAAAGCATTTACTCTCTTTAGAGACAGAAGTTCTACAATTGTTATTTGATGTCCGAATTGTTAATTTAAATAAGAAATGTACGCCCAGAAACAAACAATAAGGAGTTTTATTGGCAATCGGTCCCCTGGAAGCCAAGGCGAAAGAAGATGAGAAAATCACATTGGATAAGAACTAAGCATGTTCATTTCATTGTATTGGCATTTTAAAATTGAGTAGCAAATGTTTGAATGCAGTCGAGATTCAAAGGTGAATATGAGACGTCCAAAAGACGGTCAGTTACAATATTTGTTGTTATGATTCATGAAAATAAAAATATTAGCATAATTAGTTGATGTGACAGCTAGAGAGAACCATGCTGAATATGGTGTTGTGTTCTTACGACACATGAATTATTTTCTGTTTTATCTGCGATACAGAACATAATATTACCATGCTGAATATGGTGTTGTGTTCTTACGACACGTGAATTATTTTTTGTAATATCTGTGATACAGAACGTAATATTACCATGCTGAATATGGTGTTGTGTTCTTACGAAACGTGAATTATTTTGTGTAATATCTGCGATACAGAACATAAAATCAGAGATAATGCTCCTTTGTTCAAGTACAATTATTCGGGACATTGAACAAATTTTGAAAAACATTGATGCATTCATTCTAATAAAAGCTAGATCGCTCTTTGCACAAACAGTTTTATACAATCACCTTTGGCCAAAAATAGATTGTCGCAGCAGTTAGGATACTAACTATCCAATTTTTACTAATATTTCTACCATTTTCTCAGTAAGGCAATAACTTTTTCGAAAGCCAGAAGAATAAGTAAATTTTCAATTGAACAATGTGCAAAGAGCGATAAGGGAAATTTGGCTTTCCTGCTTAATTCATTGTATTGGAAACAGGTTTATTTATTGTTAATAGGTTCAAAAGCATTATAGATTATTTCTTGAACAAGTAGAACTTCCTGAGGATCTAGTAGAACCAGGAATAGGCATAGAAAAACTCCAAATTTGTTGAACTTGCAAACTCCTATTTTTTACCCAAATATATCCCCATAATGCAAACAAAATTTATCGAACAGATGTTGTTGTCAAAAGTATCTCTTTATAAAAAAAATATAATGTATCGAAAGAATGTTTAAAAAGTAGAATCATTCCGGGGAAACTTCACCCCCTAGTTGCCAATTACGGTCAAATCCCTTATAAAATTTGTATCTTTATGTCGTCATAAAATCAACATCGTGAGCAATACCATAATGGAAATTTCAAAGTAGACTAAAACCTTGATCTCAAGCCAAAAATGAGGTCAAACCTTTTGAAAAGAAGAATTTAAAGAATTTTTCGAAATGAGGCCATAAGATTAACTGGTGCATTATATTTGTAACTTAACATATACTGTACGGCGCTACTTTCAAATTCAGCAGACGGCCTTCTAAAAGCGCTATAAAGTTTTCCAATGCATGAATACAAAAAAATTTAAAAGTAGTGGGTTTTATCTCTTCAAATAGTTCTTTTCAAATAAGTAGTTCTTTTTTAAAAGCATATGCTTGCTCTCAAAACGAAAATTTTGACTAACTTAACATTTTAGAAATAAGCAAACTTTGAAGAAATCAACAAAGGATTGAAATCTAAAGAAATCAATCGCAAAATATCGAAATTAAAAAAAATCCATCACTAGATCTTTCGGTTTGAGCTTTTGTCAATTGGCAAAAGTTTTTGTTAATCGATGTCGTCCTCGCTAGATACGCAAGGTACTAAATTGAACTGAACAGCAACAAAGGTGTATGCTCTTTCTTTCATCAAGCAGAGTGGCATCTTGTACTGATTCGATACAAAGAGAACATACATGGGCATACCAGCCAGTATAACGCCACCTGCAATGACACTGTCTATGAATCTGTTGTATAATTGCATAAGTATCAGACAGCAAGCTACCAGAGACATTATGATTGGATTCACAAGCCATGTTTTGTAAGGGCGAGGAGTATCTGGAAATCTCACACGCAGAACAATCACTGCGAAAATGGCCAAACCGTATATAAACCAAACTGCAAACGTGAAATACGTAATAAGTGCTTGGATTTGACTTCCGAGTAACAGGGTCCATGTAAGAGCAAATAAAAGGAGGGCCAGTAAAGCTGGTATTGGGGTTCTTCGTTTGAGATGGATGTAAGATAATGGCTCTGGAAAGTGTCCTTCTCTGGAGGCCGACATGAGTGCTCTAGCTGACGTAAACAAGAAAGCATTAAACGATCCAAACACCGACAAAGCTACAAAGATAGGAGTTACAAAGCCCCCCTTTTCTCCTATTGCGACGCTGACAAACTTGCTTACAAGTGTCCGGGAACTTGCAATATCACTATGTGATAAGGTAGACATAAAGGCTAAGTTTAATATAATATAGCAAATTGTCATAAATGGAATTCCCGTAAGAAGCGATAGCTTCAAATCCTTTTCCAAATTTTTCTGTTCCTCAGCCATGTTGAAAAATGTTCCCCAACCTTCGAAGGACCACAGTGCATTGTATAACGCAAGAAAAAACTTGGTTGGGTTCTGCTGTCCTGTATCTGAGAACATGCGAGAATAATTTTCCACATGACCGTTAGCTACTCTCCATCCGCCTATCACCACCAAGACCACGATTACTGCTACTTGAAATATAGTCAAATAGATCTGGGCTCTTCCAACAAATTCTGCAGTCATACAGTTAATCAGGAATGCTACCAAAATGCAAACTATGGCAACAGCCTTTACCAACCAGACACCCAGCTGACTATCAAGGGCGCACAGAGGCTCTATGATATGTTCTGCAACCGTTATTGACAGTACAGCCAGAGCGCAAGGTATTATTATGAGAACTTGTGTCCAATTGACGAGAAACGCTGGAATGTCTCCGTACGTTTTTTTGATAAAGAAGAACAAACCTCCTGAATTTCTGAATATAACTGCTAGCTCGCAACAGCACAGACTAGCAAAAAGGCATATTGAACCTGCTATCACCCAGGCAAGCAGTGCCATTCCCATGTTCACAGTTTGGGCTGCGACTAAACTTGGAGAGAGGAAAAAACCAGACCCTATAAAAACTCCAACTACACAAGCAAATACATGCAAGAAACCAAGGCTCTTTTTTAACTGTTTGCCCTTTAATGCTTCCTTGTCTCTGTTGATGTTTGTTTCGCTAAGTAAATGCTCATTTTCATCATTTTTCTCGTCGCTGCGGACTTCTAAAACATCCATTTGTTCTTGTCTGATCGGAATGTACAGAGTTAGCACAGAATCAAGTAGAGTGTGTATTGTTATTCTGTATGTCTAGCTTGGATCATATAACTTGCGACAAGCACTTTAGCATGCGTTTCTGCTCAGTGGCATCAGTTTCAGAAAATGACAGCCTTCAAAGCATTGACTGCCCCTTGCTCTCAATGTGAGTCTCCTACTTTCTTAGACAGTGCATAGAACAGTAGGAGATGTCTCTTCACTTCAAAGACAATGGAAATAAATCATTGCATAAAGAATTACCTTATTGTTAAACACAATATATTTTAGCCAAAGTTAACAAAAGATTATGGTTTGAAGAACTTCGAGGTCAACCCAAGCCACAGAATAGAAATACTAAAAATAACGTTTTGCGATACAGAACTTGAAAATGGTTTTGAAAAAAGCAAACATTTTACAACATATTGGCTAAAAGCTTTTTCGTCTGACACTCTTCAGAGCATAAAGCGTCAGAATAAGGGTCTGAAAGAACACGATGGAAAATATATACCCAGTTGTGGATCGAAATAGACCAATCAGAAAAACGCAAGCACATGACTGCACAGGCATGGTTATCCAATCAGTGCTATGGGCCCAGAGGGAAAATACCAATGGAGTCCAAGAGAAAAAACGAACTTCTTCTTTCTACACAATGGCGGCCTTTTCGTTTGTATGTAGATCGATTCGAAACTCCATCGAAAACCGAAAGCCGAACACCAAACTCCACACAGAGCTGGAAAAACTTGAAATGACTGACATCTTCTGGATAGCCTTTTCCAGAAAGAGGTAGGCAGGATATAGGTCAAATGGTATCAACTGAAATATCCGTTTACGGGTCTTTCTGACAAAAAACGGCTAGATAAATCCGCCAAAATTTTGGGTGGTGAAACTTTTTTTTCGCTTTTAAAGGTAATGTGTCCAGCTAAAGCAAGCGACTCTGTGGGGGTTTTTAGAAACATGTGATTTTTCATGTCATCGGAGCCACTACGGTCGTTTTGTTTATCTATACTGCTGTGAGGTTAGCTTTTCATGTAAGCAGTTTTGCATCGCAAGAATACTAAAACCTGGTTTTCATATATCGTAATTCGTCGGCGATGATCCCCGATATAGCTTCCCGATGGTCTATGACAGTCTGCGATGGCTTATGACATATGAAAACCGGGTCATCGGGAACCATCGGCGATCATATGGTCCCCGACCATCAGGAATGCTGTGCATCGGGGGTCATCGCCGACAGGTTACAATATATGAAAACCAGGCTTAACCAATCGCAAACCGTTATTTTGATGGGTGGCTTGACAAGTTGGGTATACGCAGTCCTTTTATATGGACACATTACCTTTAAGTGTTCGGTCATCAAATCTGATAACTACAGGATTGTCCTTTCACATGACTTGCTTTGTTTATCTACGTCATCAGTATGCTCATCAACAAGCGTGATTAGCGCCACACGATGTTGGTACCATGAGGGTATGATTTGACGGCGGGATGAAACCATGCCGGTATCTGAGGTGGCGCTGGGAAAGTTCTTAGGGCGGCTGATGGTTTGGACGGGGGGAGGGGGGAGGGCTAAATGTTTTGGTACCAAAGCCTTGAAAAACGAGGAAGCAAGTAAAAGCCGCTATCGAACTGTGCCAATACTAATAACATTGCGTTTCAATAACTATGTCAAGTAGCAAAGAAACAGGAGCCGCACGTTTCCCTTTACTTTGTTTACATGCTTACATTTGTGGAAGAGTAGAAGTAATCTTATTTGAAGAATTGGGTGTAACCATGGGCAGAGCAAATCAATAGAGAAATTACTTTTTTCAGAAAAGAGTTGCTTTTTATAATGGAATTCTACATTTAGGAAATTTCCCGTTAAGAATGTTCACAACCGCATCAAGATCTAGCTTACTGCCTCGCTCGCGGTGAATCCCAAGCATCATAAGGCTATCCAATCTCTCATCTTTCAACAAAGAACAAAGACCACTCTTTATATGACGCATTGAGCTGAAATTTCTTTCTCATTCGCCTGAAGACACAGGCAAAGTACAGGCAATCACTTCCAAGTGCAGCTCAAAGAAGGCTTCTTTCAACTTTGTTAAGTAGGCCTCGGGTTGAAGAAGTCTGTTTGGGCACTCAGCTTCCGTTTTCCTTCCTAACATGCATTTATACGTTGAAGTCTCACGTATCAGTTTAGTATTAAAGAGCTCAGCAAAGTCGACGAGTTTCATCTCATCCAAAAAGCTATTTGAGGTTGGGCACAATGCAGTGATACCTCTCATCATTGTGATATTCTTCTCATCGAATCTCCTGCAAAGACCGGCATTTACCTTGTCTACAATTTCGAAGATGTCTTGGATATACCCATCCAAGCCACCTATTTATGTTTCGTTCAATGAAGCTTTTACAACATAATATTGTAGGACAGTTGACTTTCGTCTCTTTCTGTCATCTCTTACTGTTTTGGGGCAGGCTCAGTCTGTCTGCTACATCTTCAGCCGTATCCCAGAATTCTTGACATTTCTCTCTCGAGCAGCACTCAGCTATCTCTGCCTTCAATTTGCCAATGAACCCAATTGCGTCAGTCAGGTCGTTTGTTGTTTTGCCTTTCCCAAAATATGCCCAAAACATGGCCTTTCCCAAAATATGCTTCATCGAAAGCAGGTATCGCACAAATTTTCAATCAATCTGTAGCTTGAAGCCATTGGCCTCAGTTGTACGGTCAGAATCTCTGTCGTTGTCAATGATGCCTTACAAAACTTCAAGGACAATATCCAAGCGCTGCTATGTCACATTGAATTGCTTTGCTTGACATGACCATCTGGTGTCAGACACTCTTCCAATCTCTATTAGTTCCACTTAGTGTTGCTCCTGAATACTTATCCATCGTTTGTGAACGGTGCTGGTGGTCAGGAATGAATGGAGACTTTCAAACAAAGAAATCAAATCATATCTACTATCACTAAACTGAGACGATGACTAAAACAGTGGACACATTATGCTATCTAAGCTCCTGTCTTTTCTGCACCCCACTCAGGTGGCCAGAGACGACTAACGCTTCATCATAGTCTTGTCCAACACAGTTTGCCATACGTCCAACACAGTTTACCATACTAGCATTGATTCTCGGAAGATGCTCGATTATTGTATTAGAGAGACCTTCAGGATCCAATTCATGTGCCTCAGCAATTACAAAGAATTCTCCATTGATCGCATTCTGATGATAGTAACGCACTGCAATTACCATTTGTTCCTTTTTGCTTACACCCTTCGATTCATCTGCATGCACAGTGAAAAATTTGGACTCGTGCAGTTCCTCTTTTATTTGCTCTAGTACCAATTCTTTCATGATTTCCAAAACAGCATTTTGTATACTGTGATGTGCGTATTTAGTATTTTTTGGACCCGAATGAATCTTCTCAGCAATGATTGGATCATGCTTTGCAATTCAGGGCCGGATCCAGCATGTAAGGTGACAGTCGCACTGGACGCAGGATTGCGAGGGGCGCCCACGAGAAACGGATATACCGATTTAAAGCCCCGAAATGTCCCTCGTTGGTTTCTGGCTGACGAGTTGCTTTTTTATAATTTTCTGCCCATTTCCAAGCTAATTGCTTAAACATACAAGGGGCACACACAACCAGCCCCCATCTGGGCTTGAGGCTGTAACCAGGTGGTAGTGGCTACTCCTTATCTCCTTTTTTCTCATTTTCCATTTTGGATTTTACAATTATATTCACTCATTGATTTTTTAGTTTTTACCTTCTTTGCCTATAAAAACAACGCATCCTGGAAAAACCAGACACTGAGACCCTAGGACCCCTGGACCCCTAGGACCCTTAAGTACTGAATGCAAAAAAGACCCTAACTATGTGAGATGCAACGGCTTCCGCACAGCTTGACTCAACTGTTAGGGCTGTATTTTGCTTTCATTATGGCGTTCGTTTAATTACATGGTGTTTACCTAATTGTGCGGGGGCTACTCTGCTTGAACAGAAGAGATGTACAGGTATACGGTTTACCGTTAGTGACCCGTAAGTATCCCCCAGTCTAGAGACATAATGTTTCGATTTCCTGACATTCAGTCCATAAGTTCCTATAAGACATGGATGATGAAGAAGAAATAACGGTTCTTCCTGAGAGTTTTAGTCTTTTGTCTTCACCTAGTGCCGTCGGAACGAAATTCATATTTGTTGGGGGGGAGGGCTGCTGCCCATTGCATTTCTTCTAATTCAGTACACTATTATAATAGAAACATACAACTATAGTTTGACAACTATTTGACGGTCTGCAGCACCCAGCACTCCTCAAATCCTTCAGAATTCTTCGTTGATTTCCTCACGTTAGTTTTTTTAAGACTTATGATATGTTTTGAAGCTTCACAAGTTTTTTCATTAAAAAACTTTCTATTGCCTTTGTTCTAGGCTTTGCTAGTAATTTATTTCGAATGACTGGATTACTTCGGTTGAATGATCTAGAGTCAATAGTTCAAGCCACATCGTATTGTCAACAGATTGAGAAAATCTGATTTTCTGGAACATTTTTTACCAAGTATTAACCAAGTAAAACGAGTTAGGCATGTCGACGAATGATAGAAATTTCCAGTGTTGATATCGTTGAACTCTGTCACTAAGACCCCGTTTACACGGGATCGATCCAGGCCGGGATTGATCCCAAACTGGTACGGATCGGCCTTCCGTTTACACGGGAACGCTCGGGATCGATCTGCTATCCGTGCTAATAAACCATTCCCGGGTAACGTCCGCCATTAAGTCTGGGTAGCAAACTGACCTTTGGACTCTATGGCCGTCAACCGTAGCGATGGTGATTTTCAATAGATCAAAGCCGTAATTTCACAATTATGCTATTCTAAAGTCACGCCATTCACTGATCGATACTTAATTATACTGTCTATTATCTTTTACATAATTATCCATTGAATTTCGCCTATTATTCTCCATTGTCTAGCCATATGATAGCTATTCATTAATGATTAGTTGTTATGAAATGTTCGAAGAGCTCGCTCCTGTTGTTTTATAGAGAAAAACTTTGTCCGTTAGTTATCATATATTGCATCGTTTTAAGTTTTATCATACAGATACAAGCTGTTTTATATTCCTAGTGTAGCTCTAATTTACAGTAGCATGGGAAGACACCGAGGGGTAATTCACTCTTGCTGGACCACCCAAAAAATCGGAAGCAAAACGATTATTTTTGGGAAATTATCATCATTTTCCTTGAAAGAAAGAAATCCCTGGTAGCTGGGCTAGAACCAAACTACGTTTTTCTGTGTTATTGCAACAAACCTCAGCCACTAAGTCATGGTGTCAAGTGCAAGCTGACTTTTGCTGATGGCCGTTATTTTTGAAAGCAGAGTGGTTTTTATCTTTTTTGCAAGATAAAAAGTTTTTGCTGTTTTTTATCGTTTTTTACCATTTTAGTTTTGAAAGCTATTAAAACTATTATTTCGAAAACTATTAAAACCATTATTCTTGAAAACTTTATTTTACGTACTAGCAGGGGATTTAGCCCTTCCACTTTTTTTGCAAGAATAGGTTAGAGAACTTTTTGGAAAGTTTTCTCTTAACTATGCTCTACAGTAGAAGCCTGCATAAAAGAACCTATTTTTATTAAAAACCTTGAGGCTTAAATTTAATCTTTTCAACCCCATAATTAAGAACCCCCAAAAGGCTGAAATTTGAAAAGGTTCTTATATATAAGATAAAGGGTTTTTAGACCCTTTTCACGCTGGCAAATTAAACCAGCTTAGAATAAATCAGGTTATGGTAGCTATGTTGCATTCTTATTGGACAACCTAACAACACAAATTCATTTTATTGGTTGAAGTCTAACATGAAAAACAAAGCTGGTTTAAGTATGTCCATTACAATTCTTGCGGTGGAAAACATTGTTAATGTGTGCAAGGCCTGTACGTATATAAGAACCTTGTTAAGAATCTTTTAGACTGGAATTTAGAATAGCAGCCTGTTAATTAAGAACCTATTCAGGCTGCCAGAAAAAAACCTAGGTTCTTTTACTGTACTGTACCGCAACATTGGATAGTATACTCCTAAATAGTAGCAGTTCTTCTTCACTGGGAACCTTTTTTGTTCATTTTCTAGGTGTTTTCTTGATGTTTAATTATCCCAAGCTAATTTTGTCTATTTTTTAGCTATTGAAATCTTCTCTGAACCAGACTGTTTATAAAACTTCAGTAGAAATAAGCAATTATGTTCTAAAAGGGGCGTTTTCTGGCTTTCTAGTGCGTATGACTTAAAAATCTTTTCGGTAACGCCCTTTTCAGCCCTCCCACATTTAATTTGCTGCGCGGTCCCTGAAGCTGCCCTACCTATCGTTGTTTGAAATGCCCTTTTCCTTGGTGAAGATCTTCGAACAACACTCTGGTTTTGTTGATTATCCTTTGCAGTTAGCCGAATAGTAGGGTTTGGGTTTCTAGCCATAGGCTTTCCATCAGAAGACATGTCCACCCCAGCTTTTCCAGAAGTCAATTTTCTAATTTCTCAAAATCCGTTGAAAAATCTTTGGGGGGGGGGGGAGGAGGGAGTCTGACTGATCAGATCGATTTCAATTTTTGCACTGGCAAAAAAAGCCACCGTTACGAAAAATGCTGCTTGAAAATGTTACTTTTCCAAATATTTAAAAATAGGTAAAAAAATACAAAAAAGGACTTTCCAAGAGTTTGAAGGTCGTGGCCGAGAAAATTTGTTTTTGTCCACCCCAGTTTTTTCAAGCTGGCGACGCCACTGATAGCATTGAGCATGTCTTCCGAGGGGAAAATCACTCCAGGAAAATCTCGTACACTTTTTGGGAAAATCCTATTGTTTTATCTGAAAATCCCAGGAGATCCTTTTGTTTTAGGGAAAATCTCGTACGCTATTTGCAAGAGTGAATTACCCCTCGGTGTCTTCCCATGCTACTGTAAATTAGAGCTACACTAGGAATATAAAACAGCTTGTATCTGTATGATAAAACTTAAAACGATGCAATATATGATAACTAACGGACAAAGTTTTTCTCTATAAAACAACAGGAGCGAGCTCTTCGAACATTTCATAACAACTAATCATTAATGAATAGCTATCATATGGCTAGACAATGGAGAATAATAGGCGAAATTCAATGGATAATTATGTAAAAGATAATAGACAGTATAATTAAGTATCGATCAGTGAATGGCGTGACTTTAGAATAGCATAATTGTGAAATTACGGCTTTGATCTATTGAAAATCACCATCGCTACGGTTGACGGCCATAGAGTCCAAAGGTCGTTACCCGGGAATGGTTTATTTGGGTTCGCGTTGGAAAGCGTTCCAGTTTGTTCCCATCTCGTGCCAACGCTCGAAAAGGTGGAATCGATCCCAAATTGGCACGGATAATTTAGCGAACAGGCTTCAACTTATGGGAATGATTTATTCTCGACATAGATTGAGGCAGCGTCGCCTGTTGAAAACGCTTCATCCTCTTTCTTCTCATTTGGGTAGGCCGCTATAAAGTTTTCATAGATGTCCTCGTACTTAGAACGAAGAGTCTCCCAGTCCTGGCCATCGGCTAACTTCGAAGGTTTGTACTCCAGTGTGATCTTCAGGAGTAGGGCCTTTTTTTATATCGCTCCAAATAAACAATTTGTTACCACTTTTCGAATTCGAAGCCATTGTGTTGTTAATCTTCCTACAAATTTGGCGCTATCAACGCTATCTTCTTTGTGTTGCTAATGACATAAGCAATGCGCATGTGCGCTCCTCCCCAAGGGCCGATCTGGGATCGATCCCGTGTAAACACATAATGTTTTGGGATCGACCCCGTGTAAACGCAAGCGAAATTTACTGATCGTGTAAACGGGGTCTAAAAGTCAGTAATGGAATCCATGCCAAGAATAGATCCAAAACAGCTGTCATACCGCATTGCAGTTCCTGATGACTTTACTCAGATCGATATGTTACTTCAAGAGCATTTTATTTCGCAGGAGCCAACTGACGTAGCGCTTGGGCTGAATCGATCAACGCCAGGTTATGTTGAGAGTCTCCAAGAAATCATCAGGCAATGCTTGACTCAACCGTACAGCTTCGTTGCCATAAATGAAGAAAATGAAATCGTCGGGGTACGCTTGAGTAAACTGCATAAACCAAGTCAAAATGCAATTGATGACAGAAAGCTAGAGAATGCTGTTCGAAGTGGATTCTCTGCTTTGGAGATTTCTGAGGTCTACTTGGCAATATTAGAAGGGGAAGTCGAGAAGCTAATCCCAGCAGATTGTCGTAAGAACATACTGAAATTTTTCATCCTGTGTGTGCACCAGAAATTTCGACGCCTTGGCATCGCAGCCAAATTGGTGGATTTATCTTGTGAAAACGCCCGAAAGCTCAAATTCTGTTGCGTTTTTGCATTGCTAACTGCAAAGGCATCCCAAAACCTTTTCAAGAAGGATGGCTTTGAAGTCTTGCGAGTGATAAAGCATAAAGATTTTGTAGATGAAAACGGAAAGAGATTGTTGAACTGTAACGATGGAACCGACCAAGGACTGCTAGTATTTAAAATACTCCAATCTTAGATAAAGCTAGGACAGCTGAAAATATGCTGAATTTTTATGTCCTTAAGCTTTGATTTCAAATGATCATACCGTTAGGCTGTAAAATTATGTATTGGTTTATTAAGATAATGTCTTTCCCTGCAATGATGTAAAAATGTACAGTTGATATCCACGCTTTCGGGCTTAAACTTACGGGAACTGAAATTTTTTCGATATGACGTATGTTAGAAGCAAATTACCATATGAGCCATAAAAATTAGAAAAGTTATGTATTATATGTAGGTTGTTTACAAAGCATTGTAAATGCAGTTTTAAGGCTCTGAACATGGGGATTTAAAGCATTTATATTTTCAAATTGATGAAAATGAGCAACTATCTTTCTTGCAATGATCTGTATTTGTTAAAAACTCAAAAACATTTTTACATTGTAAGTGCGTCATTTACAAAATGAAATGTTCAATGGGTGGTAGCAAGCTTTTCTCCTGGAAGTGATGGATAAGAAAAAAAAATTTTTCCGAAGTCTTCATCAAAAAGGCGAAATTTTACACGCTCAACTTGCCAAGCACAAGATTTCGAATCCTTTGGAATTTAACAAATAACGAGCAATACTAAGCGATTTAGCATATGCGTATAGTGGCTCTCCCTTCGTCCACTCTGATTTTCTTTTGCATAGAGAACATTTCCAAGCACTAAAATCTCTACAGGCTAACAATGACATCTTTATTACAAAACCTGATTATTAAAAATTTGCTAAATTGGGTAATGTCAAAACACAGAACAAAACAGTCAAACTAGAGAGGAAACTCCAAAAACGTTTGTTGGAACTGGTCAATTCAAAAGTGTTGGCTACAGAAATTTATGATAGGATAATACCCTCGGGCTCGCAACGACCACAAATGTATGGCCTCCCTAAAATACACAAGCCGAACGTCCCACTTAGACCTATCTTGTCTATGTTTTGTTTCAGCACAACACGAACTGGCTAAGTTCTGAAGTTTTGGACCCTGTTCTTCAAAAATATTCGAAACATTGCATCAAGGATTCTTTTACGTTCGCTGAGTTCATGCAAAACTTGAACAGCGAAAACGAAACATCTTTCATGTGTTCTTTCGACATTAGTAGTCTTTCCACAAATGTCCCTTTGAGTGAGACCATCAAAATATGTGCCGACACTTTGTACCGGGGCGAGCTTAATAGCCCACCATTCCCAGAGGAAGTATTCATTGAACTGATGGAAACTGCAACATGTTCAGTTGAATTCAGTTTTATCTTTGTCGGCTTTCACGAAGAGCGTTTGTTTGACTGCGACCAAAAGGCAGGTGTTTATTTTCGGTATGTGGATTACACATACCATTTTCAAATCAGAGGCTGGGTGTGATACTTTCCTAAAACGAAAAGGAAGAAAATAACTCTTTGCCATGCCTTTTCTAAATGTTTTGGTTGAAAAATCTGGCACTGGATTTCTCACTAGTGTATACCGTAAACCCACATTTTCGGGGTTATACACTCGATGGAGTTCGTTTTGCCCAAAACAAAGAAAAATCAGCCTCATCAAAACGCTTACACATAGGGCACTGATGATTTGTTCCAAGTCTAAACTCGACTCGGAACTTGAAAAATTAACTAAGATCTTTCTGGAGAACGGCTATCCAGAGGATGTTATTTCAGTTTACATTAAGGAGAAGATAGGAAATTTCTCGGCTGACGTAAAATTTGGTCCTCAAAAGTGCCCAGTCTATCTAAAACTACCCTGGATCGGTGACAGTTCCCTACGTTTTGAAAGTCAAATAAAGCAGGCCATTACAAATTATTTCTTTGCAGTCAACCCACGTGTTGTTTATAGTACGAAAAAGGCCCTTCCGTCCATTCAAAAGGACTGCGTTCCTGCCACACAAAAAGTTCCGTTGTTTATGAATTTACGTGCCTGTGTGATCAGGGGCGGACTGGCCGGTCGGGCTACCGAGCAATCGCCCAGTGGGCCCTCCCAAAATTATTGCAATTTTTCTTCATTTTACTATGAAATGGCAACTTGTATCGTTTGGTAGGGGCCCTCTTCTCTTGCCATTACACCTAGACTCTCTCGAGATAAGTAGATACAGAATAAACAAAAATATCACTTTGAGGCACCTAAGTACTGAAAAAAAGTTTTCCAATGAAAAATTATTTGGGACCCTATGCAAGCATGCAGTATTCTAGGTCCAGGGCTCACTGTTCCCAACGCAATAATAGAATACTTAATGGAAGTTCCAAAATCGCAAAAAAACTCTCTTCGGGCTTTCAGTTTCGAAGTTTGCAAGGACATGACAGATTTTTGACGCGATTCCTAGAAAGGTAGATTACTTTAATGCCAACCAGATAGATTTGAGAATAGACATCAAAACAGCGGAGGGCTCAGCCCCCCTTCTTGTTTGTTCTTCGGTCAGACAAGAATCGTGTAACGCATAGAGAGCTGGGACGAGCTTTTTGCTCCAGCATATGTCTGCCATTGTAAACTGAACAAGAAAAGGAGACGAGATGCAACTGGAAGACTAAGATGCATTACAAGTTTTATACTCAGAGAAATGTAGACAAAATTTGGCATCGATACAAAGAATAGAATGATTCTCTACCTTTGAAGATATCTTACTGAGAACACTCAGTTACTTTCTTCTACAGGCAAGACAGGTTTTTTACTGTTTCATTTAGAAATTTGCTTAAAGTTATATGTGTTTGAAATGTTGCGCTTGTCACTAAAAGTTGAGATTTTGATATTGGTTTGTCGGTAATTGTGAACAAATTATCATCAGGGACGACAATTATTTTCATAGAATTACTGGGAAAGTTTGAGGAGATTGGCTTTACTCGAACACATTTCACTGGTCAAAAACTGTCATCTTTAGCCACAAATAAGGGTGCAAGGAAGAGAAAGCGACAGCTGTAGCCTTTTCTACGTGCTCATTCGAAAAGGAAATCTTCGCAGAACATTTAAAAGACGTTGCTTGTTTTTGTTGTACTTATTTCCTTCTAGTTTTGCCCAGTTTTGCTTTGTTTCAGTTTAGATTATCCTAGAGTCAGCTGCTTTGATTCTGACTCTCCACATACGCATCGCTTGCACCTTTTCCCACTCATTCCTCGTTGTTAAAATGTTGTTCCCCCTAGTCAAGCGTTGTCAAACGCTTAAAGTTTATTATAAAACCGAGTCTAACCTTCTTCCCATTGTAATGTCAAAATCAAACCTCTTGAACCATGGGGATTATTGTAAAAAAAAGCTAACAGGCATTGCCTAGGATTCTCCTTTAGTCAAAATTGATGGTGTAAATATTTTAGATGCATTTTCTGCCCAATACCTATAATGTCATATTTCCAAACTTTTTCTTGAATTCGGTCAAAATTCCTAACCATGGTGGTGACCTTTAGTAAACCCCGGAGCAATCTAAACACTTTGCCCCCCCCCCCCCCCCCCCCCCCCCATTACCACCTTCCAAGAACGTTTCGCCAGCCCTGCCTATGCTACTGATGTTTCCATATTGCCTGCTGCTCAACCAATCAATTAACCTGGCTGCTCAACTAATGATGGGAAAAGTCATCAACCCCCAATGTGATTTGACTGGAAAATTACATATCAAGATTTACTTGAATAACTGAGACATTCCATTAGGCCCATGATTTGCTCTGTTGGATGATTCTATTTCATTGCGGACATTTATGTTTTAGGGGTTTAGCCATCCACCAATCAAAATGTTTAGTGGTAGAAACAATACAGCGACGCGCAGTGGCGGACTGCCTACCATTCGACCCACAGGGAAAATCAAGCAAAAGGGCGCTAAAGTTGCTTAACTTTTGGGCTTGTAAAACTACGGTGGCCTACAGGTGCCACGGCAAAACTTTCTTTCTCACGGCAAAACTTACTTTCTCACGGCAAGACTTACTTTCTCACGGCAAAACTTTCTTTTTTCACGGCAAAACTTTATTTCTCACGGCAAAACCTTACTTCTCACGGCAAAACTTTCTTTCTCACGGCAAAACTTTCTTTAAATTTAATTTATCCCTTATATTTAATTTATTTTGAAAATTTATCTCGTGACATTGGATTCTCGTCGTCGTATTGCTTTGTTCCTGTTGCTTTTCTAACATAGGTGTAGAAGACAAGGGCCTGGGGAGATAAGGGGGCTGCAGCGGCAACTGTAGTTTCCCAACATTTAAATGTTTCCCAAAAAGCGATAATCAGGCCGAAATCTACCATGAGTCAGTCAGGCAACATTTTCATAAACAATGGATGTTGTTTGTTGGGCAACCACTTCGATTTTTTTAGCCTCTTATATTATGCCTATGCTTATTATTTCATTTCTTTATTCATTGTTATTACTATTATTCGAAAAATTAAGTACCTAGCCATCAACCCACCCTGTGAGTAAAACGATATGATATGATATTGAACACAATACCCAATTTATAGGTTTTTTACAAGCCACAAGGTTTTTTACGAGCGTGCCAAGTGCACGTACGAGATTTTTTTGCACAAATTGTATGTGCACGCCAATTTTCAACGAATTGATCTTTTTCACTGCTTTCAAAACAAAGGAATCAAAGACCTGGAATCAAAGATACTGTTTCGTTGAGATAGGCATATAGGCCTAGCCTAGCCAAACCTAGATAAATTTTAGCCCATTTCTGGGCTGTCTTTCTGCAAGAATTATCAAGAGAAGAATTCGCAAATCTGCGAAGTTTAAAACGTCTAAAGCATTGATTAGATCTAAGTATCACGTACACAACATCACGTAGAGAAAGTTTTGCCTGCTGCCATCCGTTTTGTGCAAATTGATGAATGTGCAAATTTTCTTTAAAAAAGTACAGTCTCTATTCCGCGACAAAAATTCTTTAAGTTTGAAGAAAGATTGGAATACTTTAATTTCTAGTTGTAAATTTGAAACCAGTTTTTTTTCAAAAAGCCGGTTTAATTTTCCATTAAGTTTTATAAAAGGTGCTTACATTACATCAATCTTTGACAAATTCTGCACAAAGTTTTTTAAACATTGTACAAGACTTTTGGCTTGAATTAGTCATAATTTCTTTTTGTTACGAAACTTCTGGTTCTAACGTACAAAAAGTAAGATGACTATGGGTTGTTAGTTGAATTGCAAATAAAACAGCTTGCCACGGATAGGACGTTCAGAAAGTATTGTCCTCTATTACACCTAGAGCAGTTTTCACTATCAAGGGCTAGTTGATGGCCCAAAGAAAAAGGACTATTATTCAAGAAAGAGACAGCACAAGGTTTACGTAATATGTGAACGTTCCCATACCCAATATTCTTCCCATACCTAACACTTCGATAATTTTATCCAGTCACAACCATTGTGATTGGAAGGAACACAGGGTAGTGCTCAGTTAATTTTT